TTAAAAAAATTAAAGCAAGGTTTGTATCTAATTAAAACAGCTGAAAAGGTAATTTTGATTAACTGCTAGTAACACCGCCTCTGTGATAAAAATTTGGAATTACCCTATAGGATATGATGCGTCGTTTGAAAGTTCTTTGTTTAGTGTCTTTGTAGTGCATTTGTGGTGTTTTTTGGTAGTATCTTTGTAGTGCTTGAGTAGCTCATTGTTAGTGTTCTTGTAGCGCATTTTTAACAATTGAGTCTAAAGGTCCACGGAAAATTAAAGTTCCTTATCCAATTGTTAGTGTTCTTGTAGTCCTTTTGTAGAGTTTTGGTATTTGTTTTGTAGGAACGCAGATAAAATTTAAGAGGCGAAACTTGTGATGTTCAATCTCAATGAATAAACCAGTGTATGTGTTGTGTACAAGTGCATGCATGTGCATGTTTGGATCAGCATTTGGAGTTGTGATGCTTGGCATTTATGTTTGAATCTCTGACCTGACTTCCATCATTCTGAGATTTTTTTTCCGCTTGTTCATGATCATTTTGTTTTAAACAGGATCAAGTGTAGAAAGGAAGGAGGAATTCGTTTCACCATAGATGGTTCTAACATCTTTATATCAGTACTCATCAGCAATGTTGCTGGTGCTGGAGACATAGTTGCGGTGAAGGTCAAGGGTTCAAGAACCGGTTGGCTTCCAATGGGACGGAATTGGGGCCAAAACTGGCATGTAAGTGCTGATTTACTGAACCAACCTCTTTCTTTCGAGGTCACAAGCAGCGATGGCCACACAGTTACATCTTACAATGTTGCTCCCAAGGCTTGGAACTTTGGGCAGACCTTTGAAGGAAAGCAGTTTGAGTCTTAAAAGCACCATTTGACGAAATAGTGCAAGGGACCATTTTTGTGTATCTTACAAGGGTGTGTGAAGGAAAAATGCGTGTGAATAGCACTATCCTATGCTTATTCTACTTTCTTTCAGTAGGAAAATATAGTTAGATCGCAGATGATGTTTTTGTACAGAGATGTGTGTTGAAGCTTAACTATCAAAAGGTCCCGGGAAGTAAACCGAGATGCTTGAGGTATAGGTTCCTTCAGGATTATGGTGTCATGCTGATGCTCAGGGCATGCTATAGAATTATTATAGTTCAGTAAGTGTCGACTGGGTGTAATGACGCGAGACCAGCTAGGGACGGTGATAGGGGATTGGAACAGAACTGCTCCGGTTGCTAGGGTAGCGGCTTGGGGGTCGCCGGAGATGAATTCAGTGGTCTGATAGTGGCAGGGTGTGCAGGCAAGAGTATATGTTGCAATAGTGATAAATTTCTTCCTTCCGCTTATGGTCGATTGATCCATGGTTCAAATGTCTTGCGGAATTTCCCTCTTCGGGTTTAATCTAGTTTTGTTAGGCGTGTTTGCAATTGTGCCTGCTGGTGCACCCTTAACTAACTTGTTCTCGTCTTCACGACTACGTGCGATATTCGCAGAAATTTGCAGCAGCTAACTCCGACGAACGAACCTAATGACATGTTTACTTGCTAATCTGGAATTAGAGTGACACGAAGAGGGGTCGGAGTCGCTCCCATTTCCGGTCATCCCAAAACACATCAGTAATCATCAAACATTGAGTCGGTTCGAATATTAAGCACCTGTACTTTAGATTCATCCACAGAACAAGAATCTTACAGGGAGTTCAAAAGAACCAATTACATTATCTAACAGAGAAAACACCAGAAGCAGAACATATTAGCGCACACCAGAAAACACCACAGAATTTACTCAGCACAAGCTATGATGGACTCGTCAACAAAACTTTCGACAAAATCTACACGAACATGTTGCTCTCAATCGTAACAGACTTTACTTCAACCTGCTTCTCGTTCGCAAATTTCTATGGCAATCAGAGAACTTCAATTTCTTTGACATCTAATCGTCGACAGTTTTCTCTTACCGGTTTAAGAAAAAGACCCGCAATGCAAACATGTTAGGATTAACCCCTCCCCCACGCAACCCATTCTCAAAGTGAAGTCCAACTACTAGGTTTCAATACAAGAATTATTCTTCGGGATGAATAGTTTTCCCCTTTGTCTTTCTGCTCTTCTCTGGATCCCCAATATAAAAAGGAAAAACCAAACGCTTCCTGAATGGCATCATCATCTTTCTAACAGAAGTTAATTTCGTAAGTTCGTTTCAAGCTAGCCCGAAAAATGGGATAATATACGAGTTCCAAGGATACAGTCATACTTGCAGGCAAGCAATCTGTCATGTTGTAGTATTTTGGGAGGTATCACTAGTGTTCTATGTACTTATTTAGCTTGCTTACTTAGAGTACACTTTATCTAACAAGTTTCATAACTTTTCGTAAAGAAAGCAGCTACTTCTATGGATGCCTACTGCATAAACCTCGCATACAGGTAAACGCTACAAGCTTCATGCGCATTGGATTCCTTAAAAATAAGAGCAGAACACAACTAACAATCAGTAGCAAAAAGGTGAAAAGCCCATACATTCACAAGTATTCAAAACATGGTGCAAAACCATAAACTAGCTCCTGAGTTAAAGCTAGCAAAGAAAGCACAACAGACGCGAAACAACAAAATTTTTGTGTCCGCTATAATCTACAGAAGGTGTGAAAAGGAGCATGTATTTTCTATCCAGGAAGCTCTTTTTGAATGATTCATCAACAACGGATGTGTATTGTCTTGACTATAGACTACACAATACGTGTAAGTATATTCAATATTTATATAAATGCAATGAAGATACAAATGAATTTCAATCTCAATTACTATCTCACATAAACTATACTGGGTTAATCCGGGGCCAAGAGAGAAAACCTGGCGGAAACCGAAGATGCACGATAAAAGTAGGAAGCAAAGGAGCCAACTGACTTCCCTCATGAATCAAAAGCTCTCTCCATATGAAATCAAACCATCGAACCGGAACAGGACATATACCAAGAGAAAACAAAAAGAATCAAATCAAAGCTTCTGGTGAGACTCGATGAGCAATGCATTGAGCATGATGTGCAGCACTGCTTCGTAAACAGGCATATCATAATGCATTCCATCAACCGTACATCGAACCCCGCAATTCCAACTCAGGGACTCAATGTCCAGTAACCAAAGGGGACCACCGGATTGCTGCAAAAGCTTACTTTTTTGAAGCTCCTTATCATACCCACCACGCATTGCATCAGTCATCCTCTCCCTCTTCTCCTCCGTATTCAACATCGAGTTTATCAACGTGGGCATGCCAACCCAGAACAAGTGCGGCCTCCGGGCCGAACCAGAGCCTGAAGCCGAGCTGGTTTCCGGCTTATCGGAGCCGGTCTCCGGCGAAAGTGGCAACAAGGACGCCGCAGACCTCCTGAGTGATTGCAATTGAACACCGAAATCTGAAGCGTTGGTGAAGTGGAGCATGTGCCATAGCCCAGAACCCATCACCAACACATCCGGGAAGTTCCGATTTCGCTTGAATTTCGTCACCAGATTGGTCAAATTCAGAGTGTAAGGAGCCCAGATGAAATCCAATCGCATCCCAATCTCACCCACCACAATCTGATAATCACTGTGCCTCTTGAACATATCCTTGTTAACCATCTCCAGAGGCCCAGAATCCAGAACCAAACTCAGTAGCGAAAGCGCCACCAGCCTTGCCTGAGAATCTCCGGCCACCACGACCCACGAGCCGTTGAGCAGATCTGAGGCGTCGAAACGACCCAGCTTCTGAAACCCACATGCAGAAACGGCGGAGGAAGAAGCCCAAGCCCACGACTTGTCGTAATTGGCAGTGTTGTTATCGAGGGGGTTGAAATTGGGGGAAGGGGTTACCTCCCAAACGACGTCGTGGAGGTGGGAGAGGCAGGAGTCGCGGCGGTTCTCGAAGACGACGACGGAGGAGACGGTGGTGACGAAGTCGTTGACGGTGGGGAAGTAGGGGGTGAGGTGGACGCCGATGGCGAGAGTGATGAAGAGAGCGCCGCTGAAGAACAGCATCTTGTTGCGGCTAAGATGGTATCCGGCCATGGCCATTGGGACCAAAACGACGACGCACGCAGCCAACACCCCCAATTGCACAGCTCCTATCATACTACAGTTACTCTTCTCATCAGATCAAACATCTAATCGGACCAGAAAGTATTTGAATTTTCGGTGCCTTGCGAATTAATCAATCTTGTATTTTCCGCGTACTGCTGTACAAAATTGACTGTAAATTTATTGACCGACTCTGAGAGGAACGTTGCAGCGGCAACGAAACAGAGAGGAGGAAGAAGGAGGAGGAGAGCGGGTGTTGGGTTGTGTTCTGTGTGCATTTTACGGAAGAAGAATGATGAGATCTCGTGGGGACCAAATTGAAATATAGAAAGATTTGGTGCCTATTTCACATTTAGAGGTTTCTTAATTTTATGCTTAATTACAGGTGTGCCCACTAAAAATGTTTTTGAGTTCTACTTTACCTCGTGAAATTTATTTTATTTCAGCTTGCCCTCTACAACATATATATACAGAGAGCTTAAGGGGAGGGATCTCATTGAAAATGGGGATTAGGTGTGGGATCTACTTCACATCGAATTTCAATGATTCAAACTGTCTATTTTGTTAGTCTCGATTCATAGATCACCTTGCAAAATATTAGCTAAATTGGAAATATTTAAGACATCTAATTGGGTTCAAGGAAATGAACGAATGCTTTGTTATATAAGAAAAAAATGAAATTTGATCTTGATAATTAAATAGGCAAATGGTTTCGGATTGAATTGAATTTTTGCAAGGATGATCTATGAATTGAGACTAACAAAATAGACGGTTCAGATCGTTGAAATTTGATGTGAAGTGGGCCCCACAACTAATCCCCATTTTTTTCAAAAAATGGGAATCCCTCCCCCTTAAGCTCTGTGTGTGTATATATATATATACATATATACATATATATATATATATATATATATATATGTCTCACTTTATCCTCTGACGTTATCTTCGTTAATTTGTCTTCATGTCGCAAGTGTGGCACCAACGTGGCAAAATAACACATAACACTTTCGTCTTTTCACTTCTCCAAGTAGGTAATTTGTGAGGAATAAATTATGGGGTGTGTTATCCACGCATCTATTTTTACTTTTTACACATTCTTTATTAATTTATGTCTATTGATCTTCTTCAATTCATCCGATCTGATGACCGAAAATAAAAAAGATATGAGAGAAGTAAAAAGGGGTGTATGGATATCACACCCCTAAATCATAGAGGTGCACTTGGTTTTTAATTTTACTTATTTTAGATATTATTGTGTTTATTAAAATATATTTAAAAAAATAATAAAGGTAACCACTTACTGTTACAATATGCGAGTTTTTTTGAAATCTTAATGGAATAAGGATAATTTAGGTATTCTGAAATCTTCACTCGTTTTGCCTTATCCCTTTATATACTATCATATGACAACACACAAAGTGTGCGAGGGAACATTTTTTATTTTTGTTCTTAAAATGGAAGAAAAGAGGAAGAGAGTGAGAGAGAACTGGGAGTGGGGAGAGGGGAGATATGTTTATTTTTATTTTTAATTAGATATATGTTAGAATTACATGTAGGTGAGACTTTATAAAACAGGAAAAAATTTTGTTGTGTGAAATTATATTACTGTCCATGTTTTTTTATTATTTATATTCAGTTTTGATTAAAGGTAGAATGGTAATTTTATAAGATTTTGATTAACAATGAGAAATCTATTAATAGTGTGCATATATTAATAAATATTATATGTCATTTTTTTTTATGTTGGGCTACTTCAACTTTTGGGCCATGATGGGCTTTCCAATCCATTATCTTCTTCTTAATTTAGTGAATTTTTAGGTCATAACTGGCGTATCCGATATGCTTATTTTAAATACGGTCGAGATCATACATATCCCTCTTAGTTTGTGTGAACTTTTTACATATTTCATACTAGCCGACCTCTGAAAGAACTTTAGAGAAAAGAGAATTAGATTCGAAATCGAGTATAAAAGATAAATGTTTGTAATCAACTGAGTTTTAAACTTTCTACAACTCGTGAGAATATATAAATACAAGATATAACAGGCATGGAGCTATGTAGGGGCTGAAAGGCGGGGTAATGCACTATAACAAGAGAAAACTAGAAACCTTCTACAACTTGTGTTCATTTGTAACATCCATTCACATGAGTAGGGCCCAATAACAAGACAAATGCAGGCTAAGCCCAATAAACTATACTTCATGAAGGTAGAGCCCATGATTTTTCACTTTTCTTGATTTGTAAAACCACTTGAATTACGGGGACTAGCTGGATGGGTGATTGAAAATGGAAGCTTTTGTACGGAATGTCTCACAATTTGGTAAGAAACTAAAATGGGGTTTTCTTTATAAGAAAGAGATTCTCTTCGGATCTCTTTTATCAAATCCTCTCAATCATCTAATTCAGACATTTTAAAATTTGATCTAACAACTAAAGTTAAATAGGTCATCATGACTATGAATATATCAGCAGACTTATAGTCATTGTTTACATGGAACACAACGAGGTTTGCAATTTGTCAAATTTGTGTATAAATGTGTTTAGCAGGATATCATGGTCACATACATTATTTGAGTATATCATGTGCGTGCTTTAAGCAGTATTTGGGTACACTGCAAGGAATTCTATGATATTTTGTATGTAGACTGTATCGATCAAATCTCTTGTAGGCAAAAATCTACTTAATGTTTTTAATGTAAATAATATTAATCTCCTCTAACATAATTTTTTATATCTTTCATACAATTTTCAATTCTACAGCAATGCGCGGACAAAAATTTCTAGTTAAACGTGAGAACTTCCTATGAGCCGGCTTTCTAGCTACACTCCAAATTATAAGCGAAAGGATTTGGTGAAGCATAGTTAGCTCCAAATTGAAAGACGCTTGACGCTACTTAATATATTAAATTAACAAAATTACAACATTGTAGCCTCTCGTTGAAGGGCAAAACAAGAACACCTGATAGCTAGGCATTAAAAACATCGAAAATTTCATCTCCTAATTGACAAGTAATTAATTAAGAACACACACACCCTATAAATTCCTCCACCCACATTGTGTGATACCACAAACTCAAGACAATCATATACACAAGAGAGAGTCGATAAAGATGGCGACGGAAGATGTTGTTCTCTTGGACCTCTGGGCTAGCCCGTACTGCATGAGGGTGAAGATTGCCTTGGAGGAAAAGGGCATCAAATATGAAGAGAGAGCTGAGGATCTCTTTGGAGGCAAGAGTGAACTGCTGCTCACATCCAACCCGGTTTACGCCAAGGTGCCCGTGCTTCTTCACAAGGGAAAACCATTGTGTGAGTCAAGCATCATCGTCGGCTACATTGATGAGACCTGGGCTTCCCCACCATTGCTCCCATCTTGCCCTTATGCTCGTGCTCAGGCCAAGTTCTGGGTCGACTACGTTGACAAGAAGGTTAGTTTGTTTTTATGTACCTTTTTGTCATCAAATTTTAACTTTCAACTTTTGAGAGATTTGATTAGTCATCCCCTCAATCGATGCTCCTTTTGTGTTATCAAATTTGTTAACTAAATGAACTTGTGCATTTTTTATGTATTCAAAACCTACGTACGTACACTCACTTTGAATCTTCTTTATTTTTAGCAATTATAGTTACATGATGATGTTATATATACTGTTGGTATCAAAAATTAGATTTTTTATTCATTCAAATATGATCATACCTTAAACTTTCTCTATTTTTAACAAGTAACATAGTAGTATGTCATATCATTTGGTGACCAAAATTGAAGATCTTATAGTAGCTAGGCACGTATATAAGTACTAACTTCATGATATTCTTGTATATATACATGAAGCTGTTCGATGCAGGAGGCAATATATGGAGAACCAAAGGAGAAGCACAAGAGGTGGCTGTAAAAGACTTCATAGAAATCTTAAAGCAGCTAGAGAAAGTTCTTGGGGACAAAGATTTCTTCGGTGGCGATAGCTTTGGTTTCGTTGACATCATAACGATCGCTATAACAAGCTGGTTCCTTGCATTCGAAAAATTTGGAAACTTCAAGGTTGAAGACCACGCACCAAAGTTGTCAGCTTGGATTAAAAGGTCCATGCAGAGAGAGACAGTAGCCAAAGTCATCCCAGACCCAGAAAAAATCTATGAATTCGTCATCAACCTCAAAAAAATGATGGGGATGGAATAGAGATCGAAAATCGCTACATCATTGATGATCCGATTTACTAGTACATTGTGTACTTGGATCTCTTAATCTACGTTCCGATAATTTTAAAAATAAGGAACAAATAATAATTTTCCTTCTTCTTGATCAGTTGCTGTAATGTACGCGATAGAGTAGAGAATAGGAAAATGAGTCTTCTCAAGGGGATAGTTCTTGATCAATGTTCCAGTGTCTTTTCGTACAGCTTGTATTAAAAAAATGTTGCATTGTTTTTCTGTAGTTTTTTTTTCTTTTTTTTTAAACGTGCTACAATATTTGAAGTTAGATGAGTTTGCTGTATTATTTTGTTTCTTTATACTGACATGCATAGCTTAAACATTTTATTCTCCCTTCATTTTGTACTAGTCTCTTGGCAAACGTCTATGGGTATGGCGATTGGCCTTTTTTTATGATTTTATTGTTTTTAATTTTACTTATTTTAGATATTGTTTGTTTTTTATTAAAATATATCTTAAAAATAATGAACGTACACACCCATAATCTCACTAGGTAATTTTTTTTTTTTTGGGTGATTTTTTTTATCTTTAAAATCCTAATGGAAGAAGGATAATTTGGATATTATGAAAGTTTCCTCTTTAGGGCTGGTTCGGGTTGGGATCCCGAACAGAAACTCTCAATCCAAATCCCAAACCAAAACACTTCGGAATGGGATTTTATATCCCAACATTGAACCAAAAATATGCAATTCCCGAAATTTGGGATACCCAAAACTGTTTCAGGATTTCGGGTCGAGATTGGGTGGGAGCTGCCATAGAGTTCCCAATCTCTTGTGCAAACCAAAACCATGGAAAAAACCTACAGGTGGAGACTGAGGCGGCAGTGTTAAAGTTCAAGAGAGTTCTCTTTCTCATCAGCCATGGAAGAGGAAGAGTGAGAAAGTTGAATAAAAACCTAAATTATATACATCTACATACACTTACAGCACACATGCAATAATCAAATATAAAACAAACGGAATCCTTGCTGCCTATGATGCAGCTGTCATGCCCATGATGTGCATCCATCACGCAGAAAAAGTTTTTCTTGGAAACCCAGTTCCAGATGCTAATCTCAAGCTTCCCCTCCAAATTCCCAAAACAAAAACTTTGCAGCAACACCAAGAAGAGAGAGAAAAGTTGCAGTTTCACGGTGACTCAGATGGAGGAGCGACATGACTCGAATCGATGAAGGAGCGGTGGAACTAGCGTTCAGGAGAGTGGGAGTGAGCGACTGAGAGTCTGAGAGAAAGTCTGAGGAAGTGAGGAATGCAACAAAAGACCTAACTCACAATGGACGGTTGGATTAGATCTTAACCAATCCAACAGTCCAAGTGATTTCTAATTATGAATTAAAAAAAAAAAAAAATATATATATATATATATATAATATTCGGTTCAGTTCGGGATTACCGAACACTTTCAAAAGATGTGGCTGAATCCCAAAACGAAACTTTCGGGATCAGTTCGGTTTCGGGTACCGAATTTTTTGGGAAATTCAGTTCAGGCATTTTTCGGTCAAATTTCGAGACTGGTTCAGGATTTTCGAGAAAAAAATTCCACCTATTTTCCTCCCTCTCCATCAGACCTAACCTATCTCCTTCTCTCAAATGGCGCTCTCTCCTTTTCGGCGCTGAGACTGTTGATCGAGGCTTTCATTACTACCAAATCTTAGAATCTACAAGTTCCACAACTTCCCAATTACAATAGGGAAAGGTGGTGACACACCCCGACCCCGATATCCCCATATACCAGGGTAGGCACGTGCTGGCCGACACCTGAGGATGACGAAGCCATTTTAAACATGCAAACAAATAAAATATATAATTAGAAGGAAATATGCTAATGTGGAAACGTGTTCAGAGCATACAACTAATCAAGAACAATGTTAAGGAATTATTATAAAAATGTAAGGAAAAAGGAATGGGTTCTACACAGAGAAAACTCGAAGATACCTATCCGAAGTTGTCCTAACGCCAGGATTATGTGTCTCGACTCTAACACCTGAAGGGGGCGCAAAACCGGAGGGTGAGTGGACCAAAGTATAATACTAATAGTGAATAATAAGAATACCATTTTCTTTCTGAACATACTAACCTCCCCGTTTTGAAAACACATATATAGTACTACATAGTAGGTTTTCTGAAAACTCTAGCATGCCATAAAAAGCATTCGTAAAACATGTATGTATAAACCAGTACTCAGTAATCTAAATATAGCCGTCAGAAGGCAAATCCTTAAAACCTCCGTAAATCACATCCGTGATGTGCTCAACTAGGGGTATCATAGTGGCTCGAAGGCATAACCATCACCAAAGGTGAAGCTGTACGACACTGGGTTACGCAAGTGAAGGAAATAGGGGTCCATCACCCGAAAGTGAAGCTGTATGACTCTGGGTTACGCCAGAGAAGAAACATATATATATGTATACAGTGGGTCCATTATCCAAAGGTGAAGCTGTATGACTATGGATTACGCTATAGAAGAAAGATAAGGTCCATCACCCGAAGATGAAGCTGTACGACTCTGGGTTACGTCAGAGAAGAAACATATATATGTATACAATGGGTGTACAACTCTGGGAGTATGTCATAAATCTCATCAACTGTGTCCTATGGCCATAGACGTCTACATACTCGGTTGTGTGTATGTGGTGTATGATAACCCACTAGATAAACACCGAAAACATATCTCAAAATCTCATATCAAATCACCGGAGCTCAAAATCTCAAAGCATCATCTCATAAATCTATAATAAAAACATTTCATATACAAAAATTCAAGAATACATAACCTTTTGTAAAACGTAAATTCGATAAATCACAAATTATGCATAAAACGTTAAATCATGAAATCATGCTTTTCATGAATGCAAGCCTAATATTTTATAAAAACATGCAATTTAAGAAGGGGTCCACTCACTAATATTTTGTTGTCAAGGAGCCGCTCGAACTAGAGAGGACAATGTCACTTCCAATCGACGCACCTAAACGCAATTAGAGATCATTTAATAAAACTCTAGTAAAACGATAGAATTTGGAAAAATAGACAGTGGATTCGGATTCAGCATGTTGAAAAACCTAAGGAAGGTCATTGAGTTCCCCCACGCGCCGCTCGGATAGTTCGACGGAAAAGTTGCCATCACGGATGGCTGTGGAGCACAATACCTCTGGCCAAGGCACGTGTGCTCCACGCACCGGCCATGACGCGTAACCACGCTCGCCCACGCGTCGACCGTGGAACTAGGCTTGGGTCCAGGTTATTGGATTGGATCTGGGTCAGATTTGGGCTTGAGTTGCTGGGATGGGCCTAGGGTTAGGATTAATGGGTTATGGATTTGGGCCAGGTTATTGGATTGGGTTTGGGCCTGGTTTACACGACCCAAAGGTTTTGACTGGTTTTGGGCCAGGTTTTTGGGTTGTGGGTCGAGTCGACCCGATTTCAAGCTGCCAGATTCAGCCGGAATCTGGTCAGCAAACCAGAGCTCCGTTCGAGCTCAAAACTCAACCATTTCCTATGTTCTACCTACCAAAATGAAGATAAACAAGTGTAGATTAGGATTATACCTTTCCTCGGATCAGCCGTGGCCGGAGTTGGCCGGAAAATGGCTTGAAAACCATCGGGTTTCTGGTCGGAAACTGGGAAATATTTCTCGAGGTGATTTCTGGGTACAAACACCACTCATCACACCTAATTCGATACCAAATGATGTAAAACGAAGGAATAGGGATTTTCCCGAGACTTACCCTAAGTCGGAAAGTAAAGATTTCATCGATGGTTCGTCGGAGGAGAAAACAAACAGTGGCATATGCCACTGCAGAGAGAGTGGGATCTTAGTCCAAGCTCAGGTTCGTGAACTCGCTGTCGTTCTAGGTATAGAGTGAGGAAGATGGTGGTGTGGTATGATGAAGGGCGGTGATGGAGCTCGCCAGAGTGGTGAGTTGATGACAGTGATGGTGGTCCGGCCACTCTCACGAAGAAATGGAGAGAATAATAAGAGGGAATGAGAGATCGAGAGAATCCCAAAGATTGGAAGAGGGGGACACATGGCAGAAGGAGAAGTAGGGTGTAGGCCCCACGTGCCAAAAATTGTTAAAATAATAAAAATATCTAATCCTAATATCTAGAATAGTGAAATGACTATTTTGTCTCTTAACTTTGTAGTTTTGTAAAATCCTCATCGTAGCTCCAATTTTGGATCCGCATGCACCCATGCGTTCGTAACAACGAGTACTACAAGGATACACCAAGAAAATGGATCTTACGTGAGACGACAAGGTGGTCCATAAAAGTCAACATTTTTACCTCAAAGGGCATTTTCGTAAAATCACGTAATAAAATTATAAAAACAAAATATTTGGGGATGGGTCGTTACAGGTGGTCTGATAATTATTTTATTTTGGGGTTTAAATGAAAAGGTCTTAATATACTGAAAACACCTAATAAGCTTTTATTAACAGTAAGAACAATAAAAAAGCAGTGACATATTCTCGTAATTAAATAAGTTTCTTTTGGTAGCACAGCCGCAAGTAAATAAGTCTCTAGCAAGGGATGAAGCGGCTACATGTAAGGCAGCAAAGGAGGTTATAAAAGCTTAAATTGGCGTTAAGGGAAAATTTGGGTAATACTAGGAAGATCAAAATTTTAAACCAAATTTGTATACCAAATAATGTGTCACCAATATATAGGAAATAAACACGTTAATCAACGCTTATGTAATAACTCAATCATTAATGTTGATGCACAAAATCAGCGAAGACTTTGGTACAACAGAAAGTGTCAGGTTTTATGACCTTCGCTTGGTTGCTTCAGTCACTAGTGAGGATAAGTACGTAAATGAATAGAGACAGAGAAGCAAACACAGGATGTACGTGGTTCACCCAGATTGGCTACGTCCACGGAGTAGAGGAGTTCTTATTAGTAGTGAAGGGCTTACACAAGTACAAAGGATCAAGCTCTCAATTTAGTGAGTTCTTGTGAATGATTTAACACAAAATGGCATTAGGCAATATTGTGGGGGAATGACCCCTATTTATAGAAAAACTTGTAGCTTTGTCACATTGACATGTGTCATGTTGTGATTGGTTCTTGATGTCGACACGTGCTGCGCTCTGATTGGCTTCTAATCTTGACACGTGTCGAGTAGTGATTGGCCTCCTGGTCGGAGGGGAACTCTTCTGGGTCCTTGACAGTATAGCGTTGGCCGGTGCTCGGTAGTTTCGGGATTGGTCAAGTATGGTAC